ACATGCAGATCTCCACCTCTTGCCTTTTGGTTGGTGCACTGAATGCATGTATATCATGCTATCCTCATTCCTAGCCCTCTGCATACGTGGATATCAGTGTTCGCTGGATCTTCGTTGTCGATTCGCCAGCCCGCACGCATATATTGCTCCAAAGACCGTTCAATGTCCACCAATGGCAAAGCTGTGTAACCCGATGCTGGGCGCCTCTTCAAGGCTCGTGATATCGGAAGCCACTCTTCTGCACCTTTAAGTCTGTTTTCGCCGGTATCCATACCTGACAGTGGATATTTATTCTGGTCCAGGATCTGGATTCTTCTCTCCCTGGTTCAGGCCAGATACCAACAGTATCATTCACCGCGACATCTAGAACTCTTTCTACCCATCATTATCCCGTTCTTCCACACACGTTTGTTCCGGGAAGGTTCGTCAACCTCAACTTTCAAATTTTAAATAGTCTGAGAACCACCAGATGGCTGCCACAGTCACGCCAGGAGCGTGACATGTCGCGAAGCGAGAAATTGAGTACAAAGCTAGTATCATGTAGGAATTTGAATGTCTTACTTGACATGGTAATTTTAATCGGAGGTGATTTTGTGATTATTCGAGCTGAGGTGACCTTGGCGGTTAAATACAACCCTGGGCCTAATTGAGACAGAAGATATAACTCTGTATCTCGGTTTTTTGCTCCTTTCTTATGTTTTGTGCCTACCTACCTCCTCTTTTGGTAGAAATTCCCCCCAGCATATGCTTTATGAGGCTGATAGTATGCTTCCATGAAAACTTCCCAGGCAGCACTTTTCTGTGGATAAAACCCAATAACTGGCGTCGCTTTTCGGCCGGCGTGAATCACAAGCAGGATTCAGACTATCACGTCCTATATTTTGCGACATGTGCACAACTTATTCCCATCAAAGGAGAAATTTCTTGCCCTTCCTTCAATGTTGTCTTAGGCAGCAACAACCTACTGCCCAGCCTATTCTTGTACCATTGACGATATTTCGATGCCGAAGCGATCCTTATTCAATGGTTTCTGACACCAATGAAATAAGAAACGCCACAAAAAAACAGGTAGTTCGATCGAAGGACCTGATACGTTTCCTTTTAGCTCCGTATCTATTCGAGAACACAAGAGACTTGCGAGCTAACTGGTGTCAGTTTAAAACTAAGCAGCCACTCGACTTCTAGACGAACTTAGCGTCAACCTTCGATCAGTTTCCCGTCGATCCGTGCGCTTCTGTGTTCTGATTCTGCAATTGGAATCCACTGGTTTGCCCTTAAAAGGCCACGGAACTGGATAATCGACCTAGACTCGATCGTTTACAGGCAATGCTCTCTGCATGCCCACTTCCAGAGCCAGACATCAGACATCAAGCAATACGCCCCCTGTGATACCTCATTCCTTCTGTTTCTCCATTTGGCTATAGCATCTAGCATCCAGCTTCCGTCACAATATTGTCCTAGGATCAGCTTTACAAACGGCAACTGGAACCTATACCAGCCATACCGGATACTTGCTTTTAAGTAGTGGCATTCCTTCTATAAAACGCGTGCAGTCGTTCGATTAAACACTTGCGGGCTCTCAAACTTAAAATGTTCTGATTGACCCACACGGTTCATCCGCTGGATAAGGGGAGCTAACGGAGTATGACATCCGCGGAGCCCAGGGCACCCGAGGACAATTGATACAGTATTCTGGTAGACCAGAGCAAAATCCTTGCAAAATTCAGAATGGAGCATTGGAAACATCATTAATTCCTAGAGGCGGAGTAATCGAGTCATCGTTGTGTGTTGCACGATAAACCCGCATGTGGAAAATGAGGTGATAAATATGGGACTATGGCACTGATTATTCCCAACACATACCTACGATTTACTCCCGTCTACGGAGTAAATAGGGGATTGTGAACTACAATCACTTCGGATCCACTTGGGCCTTGATAAGGGCCGAAATACCAAAAAACCCGTACCTTATATCCTGTTGATATGACACATATTTTCGGGGAAATCTGTTAGATCCCTTTGGCTCATGGACTCCGACCTTTGTCATTGGAATGAGGCACGGGATATTTTATTTCAAGCACTGCCTTTCGAATCAATGACGGTGTGGGTCAGGATTCTACTTTTCCCTCCTTCAAATGCCTTTGCGGCTCAGCTATTTAAACTTTCTTCCCCGGACCAATCATGCCGTCCGGTTGTGTAACATCGCGGCTAAAGGTATTCCCGAACCGCGCGGGTATCCATTGGTTGACACGCGCGCGTCTCGGTATGCTCCTTCCTAAAATTGCATGTTTTAAGCAACTTTATGCCAACTACAAAGCCGCCTCAATTTGAACGTTATACCTTGGCACATCTAATCGGTGTCAGCTAATTATTTATCCACTGCTAGGAATTGAGAGGTCCCCAACTCGCATATTGAACCGGCGAGACACTAGCACCGGGAGATGGGGTACTACTTGAAGACCGGAGAGTTAGAAAAGCGCAAGCTCACACACATTCTTATTAAAGTCGAACTAATGAAAACCGATGGTTATACCATTAGATATGAGCAAGGCCAAGGAAAATATATTTTAAATATGTTGAACGAAGAATTAAAGGTGGTAAACAGCGCATATATCAATGAGAATATAGAGCCTGCTAGCAAGATTAAGCTTAAGGTCAAGTCAATTTTTTATAATATGGACGGTGAGCGCTCCAAGAACAGTGTGCTAAATTACTTTCATCATAGCTCGCAAACGAGGTGTGAGGATATTCAAAGTTCTTTCCAATATAGCAGGCTGGAGATATAGGGAAACCCACCGGCGCAGATTTCGAGCCAAACATATCAGCCGTTGAGAATCAGTGCTGATATAACCTGGCTATTGCATATGACAGCTGGCTGGTGGATTTTAAACTTGGCGAGGAGGCCACAACCTTGAACCTGCCAGTTCATCAACAATATCCCAATATAGAAATGTAACGTAATAATAATCAGGCATACTCTGACAATTGTACTCCCTTTTTACTGGATAAAGGAGCCAATAAGAGGCCTAAGACGAGCTTGCACCTGTTTCCTCAGTCCACCTCCCTCAGCTATACCTTATCTTATTTCACTGTTGTTATTGCGATTTCATGAAATTTTTAGTATTTGCACCGTTGAACAAGTCTTAAACTTGTTCTTTCCCAAGGGAATTTCAAACCGTGAGTTGCAGAGTTTGTCGATTCGCCGACCGATAAGATGGTGTATAAATCCTGGTGAGGTCGAACGTGCAATTTTGTCCCCGGTTGGCTTCTTCAGCAAGTATATGATTTATTTTGAGACACATTGTTCTCTCTTCCGTTTCTCTAGATATTAGAGTTACGGTATAGAAAATTGTCACGAGTTAAAGGTAGACAAGAGATTAAGCAGAACTACGGGTATCTAAGCTGACGATGCTAACTTTGCAGTTGCAGGCAGCAACGAGGCATCACATCGTGAAAATCATGCTTCGAGATAACGGGAGGCTCTCCGATCTAATAATTTAGATCTTATTCCTCAGGCTGGTCCAGGAATCTTTGACGTCTGTATGTACATATCGGCACATGCCAATATCTGTGCATGCATATGTCCATACGAAGTGCCGAAGTTTTGCCCTGGAACGGCATCCGAGTGGACAATGGATGCCGGCAGGACGGTTCCACCCGTGATGGAATGTAGCCTAAAAAAGTGAACTGTTCGTAATGCAAGTTCGGCTTCGGGACGCGGAACGACGGCTGTAAACATCAAAGCTATGGCAGGTATATATTTTGACCCCTCCATCCCTCGATAGAGAAGTTATACCGGAAGATGAAACAGACGACTCCCTTTAGCATTTCAATACGGCTTATGATCTACCGAGAGGAAAAGCTTGCCCTCAAGGCTCCACCCGGGCGAGGGGAGTAGTTAACGAACTCTTCTGGCTGAAAATATAGTTGTATGCGTACGCACTCGAAATCCGGGGTTGAAAAGAAGAAAAAGCCGCAAAGAGGATCCTGGGTTCGTCTGTGCGTGTCCATCTCTGACCCGGCCGCCTGACGAAGCATGAACGAACTCCGTCCCTGCGGGCTGAATCGGCATGCCTGGGAGTCTCTGGAGGAAGGGAGTTTATAGATCCCAGGGAGCAAACTGGGTACACCCCGGACGGCTAGTCGCTGCTAACGACCACATCGATATTATTTCCCCAGACGATTGCCAGATCGTGAAGAGGGCCCATCCCAGAACCGGGCCACTGCACTAATTAGCTGTAATTTTTACCTTCAGGACAACGCTGGCTGGTGAAATTGCGTACCATGGCAGGTCAGTTCCATGACAATTGGGAAGCCATGCGAAGAGTCTCGGATGGCAGCTCCGGCCACTCAACGCGCAAGCGAGCTGGGGAACAGACCAGGCAAAGCGAGCTGTGGCTTGCGCCCAGGTTTCGAGCATGCCGGGCCATATCAAATCTCCTTCCCTCTTCGACCCTGTCGTGCTGCGTCGTGCGAAGATGTGTGTTGTGCTGTCCTGGATATTAGCTAGCTGGCCGTCATTCTTTTTTTTGGCCGGCGGAGAAATCTCCACAAGCGACGGCGTCAAGGCAAAGCGACCTTCCTCTTCGGGCAGCCCACCGGTTCCCACTCGCCCGTTCGCCCTCGTCTTTTGCTTTTTTCCCACTGCTCTTGCGCAGGCCTCGAGGCCTCTTTTTCCACCCGGTTGCAACGCAGGGCCAGACGTTGTGTTTTGCGCGCTGCAAGGATGGGGTACAAGTCGCACTGGACTGCTGCTACCTAGGCTGTCTTGTTCGTGATATAACTACGGCGCCTGTCCCGCCCGCCGCTCCTCCCGCGCTTCTCCTCCCTGGCCCGCCCTCGCTGACGGAAGTGCTGCTTGGAGGCTGGATGAAGAGCATCGAGACCGGCAGAGAAGCCAGCACCACCGCCGCTACGCAGATTCACGCCCGGGGAGAAGGGTAACTAGTCGAAGACGCCGCCCCCATTGCAATTTGCCCACCTGGTGACCACCAACCACCATGGGCCTCTCAACCAAGACGATACACGTTCACCGCCACCAGCAGCACCTGAAGTGGTCTCGAGATATCCCTCCCGTGCTCACGATCAACTCGGGTGAGACGGTCACCTTCGATGCGCTTGACGGAAGCAATGGCATGGTATCAAGGGATTCCGGTGACGATGCTATATTGAAGTTCGACGTCGAGAGGGCGGATCCCGGATTTGGACCCATCTATGTCAACGAGGCTGAGCCCGGAGATGTGCTCAAGGTCGAGATCTTGGACCTGCAGCTAGGCGATTGGGCATGGACTGCTATAGTCCCGAATTTCGGGCTACTGGCTGATGAGTTTCCGGAGGCGAGGCTTAAGATATGGGATATTGACCCCAGCCTGCCCTATGTCAAGTTCAAAGAAGGGGTGCACGTTCGTAAGGCACCATTCTTGGGCATCATGGCAGTTGCACCAGGTGTCGAAGGAGAGTTTTCTACCATTCCGCCCCTCGAGACTGGCGGAAACATGGACTGTCGATACCTTACTGCGGGTTCTACGCTCTACCTGCCCATCCGTACCAAGGGTGCCCTGTTCAGCTGTGGTGACGGGCATACTGCCCAGGGAGACGGAGAGGTCTGCGGGACGGCCATTGAAACCACTCTTACAGCTTCATTACGTTTAACAGTCATCAAGAACCAGCCGTGGGTTACCTCTCCGCAGTTCCAGACTCCCCCGCTCAAGCAGACGCTATCTGCCGCAGATATCGAGGCAGATAAAGGTGAATATGCCACCATGGGCATAGACTGTGATCTCCTCGAGGCGACCCGGAAAGCAACCCGTAACATGATTGAATGGCTCACTCGCACCAAGGATCTAACGCGAGAGGAGGCCTATATGCTCACTAGCGTCGCGGGCTGTCTCAAGATGGCCGAGGTCGTCGACATGCCCAACTATGCTATTGTAATGACAATGCCGCTAAGCATATTTGTGACCCCAGATTGGCCAAACGGAACGACCACCTGATTTTTCAACTATATGGATTTTACTTTTGGAGCGTTACTTTTCATGACTGATTCTTGACTTTGTTGGTTTTTCCTTGCACATCTAATGCCTGCTCTCTCACGGAGTATGTTCCTCCTCCATGACCGCCTCTTGCGTCTTGGATGCACATAAACCGCTCACATCCAATACAAAACGCATACATAGCCATAATAAATATACCCATATACAGAGTAGGCATGGGTTCGATGTGTGACCCCATGTCATATATATACATTCGCCCACATATTTCCGTCACCCTGGTCCCGTTCGTCTGGGATTCCCGCAGCTCGGATGCTAAAAGGATTCAACCGACGCTCGGCCGTCCCTGTCCTCCCTCGACACTTTAAAAAAAAGCATGCGTTTCTCTGCTCTCTTCCTTTCCAGTACTCCATATATATAAAATACCCCTTTAAAGGCATCCTTTAGCGGCATACATAGACGTATTTGACGGGCCAAGTGGGACCTTTAAAAAAAAGAAAGAAAGAAAGCTATTGCATGGAATGATAGATGGTTGCATTACAATATATAGACTTGTTTAAGGATCACGCCCATTTTAGCTGCATAAGTATCCTTGCTTAGGCCGAGCAGGGTAAGAAGTAACTGGATAATCTGATCCTAGTGGCGCCTTGCAGGCAAACAACTGGCTGTAGAGAATCGACTGTCAAAAGCAGGCCATCAAGTAACTAATTATTTATTTATTTACTCGGTCTGCATCTCGGCTCGAAACAACAATGCCCATAGGGCGTCTATCCACAACGACCGCAATACGATGGAATGGATCACAGCCGGATGAACATTCGATACCGAGCTACCAGGAGCTAAACCACCTGCCTAAATAAGAAGGTCGTTAACTCGCTGGCTAAAATGAAAAAAAAAAAAAAAAAAAAAAAAAAAAAAAAAAAAAAAAAAAAAAAAAAAAAAAAAAAAAAAAAAAAAAAAAAAAAATTCCCCGTACGCATGCATAAAGTAGTTTACATACATACATATATCCGGAGTTTTATCCCATTGCTTGTTTTTAGCACCAAGAAGAAGAAAAGAGAAAAAAGGGTCCTTCGCTTGCGCCGGACGGAATGTGGATCTGTCCGTGTTCGCAGCTGATAGCCAGAAGGTTGATAGATGGCTGGAGGCTTGAAGAAGCAATAACTAGTTAGTTAATCGGACTTGCAAACCGGAAGAATTGATCCGTCAACGTGGGAAATGGGGCCAGCTTGTAGGGTGAAAAAAAAAGGCATGTCCAGCGAAATGGAAATAAAAATAGACCAAAAATGGAGCCACGGAACTTCCGTTAACCATGCATTAGGTACCGTTTGTTTATTCCGTCCTGATATAGCTTGATCTATCCGCATAGTTATAATAGTAGGCATAGTTATAGTTATAGGGGTATAAAGAAAAAGGAGCCCGGTAACCGGGCTTGAATGACAGGAGCGAAGACATAAAACCCCTGGGATCAAAGTTTGTTCATAATGCAATACAGAAAGAGAAACGAAAATAGAAGCGTTCAAAAAGCGTGTCAAGGCCCAGTAACGACAAGGAAATTAAAAAGAAAAAATATGATGGGAGTAAAAATAATGGTATGCGGGTAATATGGGGAAAAATAAAACACTTTTTGCCGCAACGTAGATGGAGAAAATCCCTTTCTTTTACTGCGACTTGCGGATGTATGCCACAGGGCCTTCGTACACCTTTCTTCCGTGAAGAATGTACTGGCCAATAGCGAAGAGGATAACGGCTCCCCATACCAGGGAAGACCAATTCATGGTCTCGGGGGTGACCACCTTTGTGCTTGGGAAGAAAGTGAAGACGAAAGCGAAGGAGAGGTAGAGGGCGGAGAAAAAGTTGATTCCCATTCCCCAGCTTCCAAGGGAGAATCGTCGTGCGGGCAATGGCTCCGCACACCGTCGGCGGTACATGAAACAGACAATACTCAACACGTAGGAGGCATAGAGAGACCCAACTGTGATGGAGGCGATGGCGTTGAACGCGGCAGTGGAGCCAATGTTGATTAGTGATAGAAGAATAGTGATGAGAGTGGTAGCCAGGACAGCGTTGACTGGGATTTTGGATGTCGGGTTAACGTTCGAGAAAAACTCGGAGAAAGGAAGGGCGTTGTCTCGGGCGAAGGCGAAAGCCTGGCGAGAGCAAGTGGCGAGAATACTGATCGCGCTGCAGACTTCAAGGATAAGGATGATGCATGCCAGGCCAGTAGTTGCGCTCTTAGAGCCTGTGGCATAGAGGTAAGCCGAGAGGAAGGAGAAACCAGATGGAGGCATGAGTATAGAGTCGTCCACTGGGCCCATGGTGAAGAGGAAGGTGATCAACATCACGAAACCAAGACTGCCGTTGATGATGGCAGTGAATATCATGCACCATGGAACGACTTTGGAGGCATCCTTGATTTCCTCAGCTATATCGGAGTCAGCATCTCATCCAGACATAAGAGTGGAAAACAACGGCCAACTTACCAATATGAGTAGCACCGTCAGGACCCAAGAAGGAGAAAATGGGACTAATCTGGCCAACAAGCACGGCGACGCCAACAGTAGACCAGCCGCCAAAATTGGTGAACTCGGTGAAGACTTCCTTTGATGGGGACTTCTCTCCCATAACCCAGAGAGTGATCATGGTAGCAAAGAATCCAAATATATGGAGAATGAGAATCAGCCCTTCCAAGCTGGGAAGGTGACTGGCGGCGTAGGTGTTGACGAAGGTAGCAATAAATGCAATGGCAAAAGTAAGAAGAGTTCCATGCCATCTCTCAGGGGTGTATGAATCACCATAGTTCAACTGGAGGAACCCCTGGATGAGAGTACCGCAAAGAAAACAGATACTGGCAAAGCCGCCCTGCCATCCCAGCACAGAAAGCCAGCCTGAAGAAACCAACAGTTAGCGCTGTATATATGGAAAAAGAAGGCAAGGATGTAGCTATCTTACCGGTGATGTAACTCAGGAACTTCTGGTACCTGGGACTTGCAAATTCAGAGACCCAGTGATATTGGCCTCCAGATGTTGGAGAACTGTATTTTTTCGATCGTTAGCAAATTATGCAAACATGAAAGATATATGTATGAGGTAGGGACGTATTGACTTACATTGAAGCGATCTCAGCCATAGAGATGACCGAGCAGAAGAAACCGATGAAGGTGGCAATGTACATGTACACCATGCCACCCTTTCCACCGTTCACCAGAGCGAGAGTCGATGTGCTATTCATGAGAAGTAGAATTTCAGTTCATGTTCAATCATAATCACTGTTGGTTATTCTTGCGCGAGACGGAACTATCAACGTACAGCAGAACCGATTCCCATGTTGCCATCAGCGTACAAGTGAAGCCGAGTGTAGACAAGAAGCGGAAATTTCTCTATCATCACTGGTCAGCAAAAAAATCCAGCATTCTTCGTTCCCGCTACTTCGAAGGTGAATCTCACGTTGAACTGCTGGGGTTTCCCCAGCCGCGACATGTCTTTCTGGTCGTTGTTGGAGGCATCGTCGGCGGAGTTAAAGCTGACGTCCAAGTCGCCTTTGCCGGTCTCGATAACATCAGGTTGGAACATCTTGATCGCCTGGCCGTCTCTTTGGCAATGGATTTCTTCGTATCTTCTGTGTCCTTCGTCTTTATTCTCGACGCCACCGTCCTAATACTATCGTCGCAACAATGTGGCAGCAAAATCACAAGGCCGGGTAATACGGATGAGCGAGCGTAACGGGCGAAAGGATGGACCTGTAGAGACGGGCCGTGAGAATACAAGATCAATTAACAGCCGCTGCTATTATCTCGTCTCTTCTTTCTTGTCTCTTCACTTTTTCTAACAGCGAAATCTCCAGTAGTGGCGACGAGCAGAAGGTCTGATTGATATTTAAACCGACAGCCGTCTTCTCTTACGCCAAAACCCACGACATTTGTATGAACGAACTAGCCTGTTTAGAGAAGGTCGCGCTCATCCAAAAAGCACATACACACTTACAAGGAGTCCCGCCGGTGGGAGAAACGTGAGCAACAACGAGTGGGAGCTCCCGCTGCGCTGCCGGGGGGTCAAGGGAGGAGAAAAAAGGGCCCCCCGGGGGGGGTCTCGGTGGAGAGCCAGTTACTTCTCCCCCCCTGACGAGCCAGCCAGCCAGTCTGGTGTCGACGCAGCGAGTATATGCCAGATGCACGTCTGACACCTGCCGCTTGCAGTCTAGCACCGAGATGGCTGCGTCTATTGCCTTTTCGACTGGGCTTCATCCTCAGGCATGGCCTGGAGGCACAGATATCAGTCGCGCTGGCGCCGTCATGGCTAACTACCGTCAGCCGCATGGCCAACCTAACTACGCTGCTGGGAGAGAGTGGACAGCTTGCTCGCCAGGCACGCCGAGGTGTTGTGGGCTTCCCACTGGCTAGTTTGAGAATTAAGCCTGTAAATCCGGAGACAGACTTGCTACGGCTCTTTCGGCTGCCATCTTCCCTTACGGACGAAATCACCCTTGCAGCAGGGCCGGATAAAAGACGGCAGAGGGAAAGACAATGCAATCTTGATATGCAGAGGCAGAGTACGCCAGCATCTAACCAGGCCCTGCAACTTTTCATGCATCCACGGAGCAATATATATGTACAACAATGCCTTTGATGAGAAGGGATCCCAAACCATGGATAGATTTTGACATGGCATTTCCACGCTGCTGGGAATTATCTCAGGCCCTTCTGGACGCCTTCGACTGCAGCAGCCACAAGACCGGATGCCTTGGTTAGTTAACTATGTTTTTCCTTTTTTATTTCCCCTCCCCAATTTTCTGTTCTTTTTCCCGTCCTTTTTTTTTTTTTTTTTTTTTTTTTTTTTTTTTTTTTTTTTTTTTTTTTTTTCCCTCTCGTTCCTGCGTGTCTGTCAAAACCGAAAAATGTGCCTTCGATGGAACGGTTTGGAAGCCCCAGTGGAGACAGAAAATGGACGGACAGCAAAGGCTGAAAGCCATTACTTAACGACAGGACGCCACGTCCACTCGCGCCAAATACTTCGCAATGTGAAAATCCATGTCCAGATGCATGAGCATGGGATAACTTGTAGACAGCAAGCATATCCTTGAAGTTGACCAAAGGCATCCCTGTGACGGGCTCCGCCGGGCGGGGACTGAACGCACAAATGACAAACACCCTTAGAGGAGTTTACGCTGACTGCTTCTCTCATGCCCCCTGCACATTCTCATTTAGGTGTCCTCGAGTCCAGGGGGGTAGGGGTAACGGGGGACATCAGGCCATCTCATCTGTGCGAGGGGTTGCATCAGGTTTGTTTGAGCGGCAATGTATTTGTCTCGAGATGTTCAAGAAGCAACGTTACATTCCTTCTCCCACTGTCCTGTAGATGGAGGTTCCATGTAGTTTGTTAAAAGAAGAGATGACGGGAAGATCAGTAACTAGCTTATCGCAAACGAATGAGAGAGAGAAGTCCGGTAAGGATGGCTGCTCGGGTCCTCTGAGCAAGCTCAGTACTGTACTTAAGTTATCAGCTACCAGTAACCAACAGCCGATCCGCTGATGCGATGGCTGGCTCTTGGGAACCGTCCAAGAGCAAGTAGCAGCTTGGCCACGGGAGTGCCTCGCCCCTTTTTCCCTCCCGTAAAGATATCGTACAGCCGACAAGGTCGTAGGATAGGGCTCGTACTTCTCCGTATATGCAAACATGCGATATCGCAACGAAAGCCATGTGCGCGTTGTGGAGGAAGACTGGGTCGTCGAAGCAAGACATGTCGGTAACTAGTTGGCGGGATCCAATAACTATAACTATGCAAGTGTCCCCTCTATATTTTGACCGGATTATATCGTCAAAACATTAAGTCGTTGATTCATATAATTCAACGGAGTATAGCTGTTCACTCTCTATCCTCTCGGATATAGCTGTGGATGGATGGATTCTCATTCCCACTAGCTGAAGAGCCTTATCACCATCAAGCTTATGATTAGCTAGCAGCTAAGAAGTCCGCCTCGCTGACTCGACGGCGCAACGAAGCAGTTCTCCACAGGGTGGATAAGAGCGACGGCCTGGATCCGAACGAGAGGAAGGCGACGAGCGTGCTCTTTTCCGTTGTTCTTGTCTATGCAAGTGCTCCAATTCCCTGCTGTGGGATGGCAATTCTGGAGCAGCGAGATGCTGTTTTAGCGAGCCGTTCATCCTTGCCTTCGATTGCCTGTCCTGCTTCCTCGCCCCTGTCGTCCATCGGGCTCTGACCTTTCGATTTCTAGCGACGGGCATCCCCTCCCACACCCCAAGCCCTTGACTGGCCGCCACTTCTTGGTTATCCTCGACTTCTTCGGTGTATCTTTCTTTTGGCTCGCTATCCGCTGGCCAGCCACGCTCTTGGATTATTACAGGGGTCAATAATGGGGCTACCGACGGGCCAGGAACATCCCTCCCCTGCCACGGAGACGTATAATTGTGCGTAATATAAGCAATTCAGGGTCAAGGTCGATGCTCTCCGTCCTCTTTTCCCATGCGAGAACCACGTTGGGAGGTGGGATAGACGCGTTCAGGAGATCAATGCTGCTTTCCCTTATCAATTGCCGATATATCATGGTCGTACGGGGTCCTCCGGATATATCAGAGCTTGGGGACAAGAGCACCACCCCGCCTATGAACATCAAACATGACTGCGACGGATCTTGCTACAGAGGGCAGACGAGCTGCAGTGTCAGCCAACGCCCAACCAGATTTGGAGCAAAGGAAAAAAGTTAGACGGAGCTAGCTCTTCGTTACTACTGTTCTCCGAGTTAGTCGCTACTCCGTACTCCATAGTTATAGTTTTATCCTATGGGACTTATTGGTCCCGTTCCGCAGGCTTTGTTGTTAGCTCGTCCACCAGCACCAGCCCATTATTCAATTGACTAACCAGGCTTCAGATGTACCGTACGGAGTAACTCGTGGAAATCGCCTTCTTTGTTTTTCGAGGTGCCATCCAGAAGTTAGCTAGCGCAAGCTGTCTTTGCTAGCTTCCATGCCAGCCGCATCGGAGACTTCCAACTGGCGTGAGTGGCTCACGGAGTCGGTATTTCTTTTTCTCTATCACATCTGAGAGATTGTTCGGAACGTCGTCCCCTGGTTAGCTTTGCTTCGAAAGGAACCACAGCTTCCATTGCTGCCCTGGCTAGCGAGAGGCAAACATGCCAACTTTCCAGTTCCTGGATGCCTTCTCTTTGACTGGTAAATCTAAATAATTGACATCTAGATCGGCTCCACTAGTTAGTTTGCTCATATTATTAGGTCCTTTCAGCATGATTGGTTTAACCAACAAGGGGGAATTCTTGTTATGAAAACTCCAAGGTACGCATTCCACGTTGGATTTTCCGTTTCTCTTGGGACTCGTTGGAACGTGATTCGCTTGTGTGAGCGCTTCACAGGGAAGATGATGGCGATTCAATCTGAATGAATCAACTAATCTCCTCCCGATGTCGGCTGGTAGATGGTGATATGCAGGGAAGATGCATGCAGGGTGCGTCCGCAAGTATTGGTTGCGCATACACCATTCGTCTTTTCCTCGCAGCCTGGTTCGAAAAGGGTATATGCCACCGACCCGGGCGAGTATCTGCACCCCGAGTAGAGGTTCGAGGAAACGGAGCCTCCGCTTCCCCTTGCTTCTCTTCTTTTGACAAGAAATCATAATCAACATCTCCGGTCCAAAAAGTAATAATAATTAAGAGAAAGGAGACCTCGAACGGGGCCTCTTACATGCTAGCTTCTTGGACATTAGACGTATCCCTCGTATCAGGATGTCTGGCACTAAGGCCTTAGTCTCCCACTACACAGGTTAGCCTTTCTCCATAACTCGACGGATTTCGGATACTCCTCGGCGAGAAGCGGTTAAGGACGATCAAACAGAAAGGTCGTTATTCTCTCCATACTCCAGCCTTGGATCTCTTTTAATCTGGGAAGACGTTGGACCAGAACGATGTTGCTGCTTTTTACGGAGTGCACTGTACGGAGTACATATATAGAGAAATCCGGAGGTCCAACAAGGGTCCTCGGTATCTGTATAGATCGGCCGCGTTACGACTGATGCTGGTCTCTTAAACGTATGCCAAGGGGAAGGATCTATAATTATAGACATCCCAGTCAAATCGACGTTTGCGCCGCCGACACGCAAACCCGTCGATGCAACTTTGGATCCGCCGTTTCGTCCCCTCGGCTCCGTTTTTCTTTCTTGTTGCTCGATCAGTTGGGCTGCTCCAAGTCTGGCTTAGGGAAATGCAGTGCCAGAGTTCCCTGCTCCCTGCCGCTCCAACCAGCGCTTGCGCCCCTCCACTCACACCACTCGTGTTGTTGCCCTTCTCGTTGACACCTTGATAATGTTGCCCCCGCTGTTCAAAAAGTCAATAGGACAGCCCTTTAATTTTTTTTTTTTTTTCACCAGAAGCGTCATTGCAGAACTTCCTCAGACTTTGTTTCTTGTAAATTATTCTTATCCACAAGTGATCGGCTTCGGGACCCGGTGAGAAGCACAGAGAGAAGGAAATGATATGTATAGACCTGCAGCCGGTTTAGTCCATCTTCCGATGCTGCCAGGCAATTAATCGAAAAATCGATCTGAACATCCAATACCGAATATTTTACCTATACAGACGGAAGACTGGTGACCGAGACTTGAACTCTTTTGAAAATCAACAATTTGACAGAGGCGCTGTTCGCCTCGAACCTGCGCTCTGATGGCTTCGTACCATGTCACGGCCGAAGAAAATGGACCATTGGTGGTTGTATCATCGGCAATCATGATGACTTATATGATACTCTGTTATCTTGTTAGGGTCTTCATGAGATTCACGATCAATGGTCCGTTTGGGAAAGATGATTGGTCTTTGACAATTGGATCTGTAGGTGTCTTTGCAGGCTGGTCTTGCTTGTCATTCGCATGTGGCTAACCAAGACACAACCATAGCTCATAGCGGTGGTACAGACCGGTCTAAAGATAACAGAGGCATATGCCGGGCTTGGGCGACAAAGGCATCTAGTACCTTTAGAGGAAATTGAACGAATTGAAAAAGTAAGCCAGTCCGGGGAAGAAAGGTTCTGCTGCGAAATATCAAGCTAATCGTCATAGTTGGCGTACGCCGGCGATATCTTTTACCTTGTTGCACTCGCATTTTCTCGTGTTAGCACATTTCTCCTCATTGCTCGACTGACCCGACAAAAAAACCACCTCCGGGCAGCAAACCTTGGTGCTATTGGGTCGATGGTTATCAGCATAACATCGGTATTCCTTATTTGCATGCGCTGTGACCTTTCGAGGCCTTGGGACCTCATCTCGCCAGGCTGCTCTCAAATGGTACGAACTCCTTGGGTTTTATGCTTTACCACACGTGCATGGATTTTAATCAGAGTTTCTCCCTAGTATTCGCGGTGGTATACCGTCGAGACCTTGGGCATACTTGTTGAGCTCTATGCAGCATGGGTTCCTATATACCTCGTCTGGAGTCTTCAGATGCATATCAAGTCAAAGCTCGTTGTCTTGTTTGCATTCTCTTTCCGCCTTCCGTGAGTACCACAAACGAACTCCCTTTCATCCATTGTCAGGCGGCTGCTAACCATCCAATTAGAGTTCTAGTGGCAGCAGGCGCACGTTTATACTACCTTCGTCAACAGCAAATGCAAGAGGACTTCCTTTATTATGGCGCCGCTGCGTCTGTGTGTCTCGAAGTTGAGCTTCACTATGGGTTGATGGCAGCCACGATACCATGCTTAAAACCATTCGTGAAATTGTTCAACACCGGGTGGTTTGACACGAGGGCGATGCATAGCACCAGTGGGGGAGAGCAGTATGCTCTATCGAACATTCAACCCGCTGAGATCACGGTAACCACGGAGGACAAGCCCGCAAGAAGAAAGTGGAATGATCGGCGCCATGTGCGGTCGCAGGGTTCCAGTGCCCCATCTTCTGCTGGTTCTGATATAATGATTATTCGCCAGACCACTGCCTGGGATGTTACTTATGATACTAATGACCAGACCGTATAATTTCTGGCCTTTTTTCCTGTTTGCATTTTTTCTCATTTCCTTAATAGGTAAACTGGTTTTCCTTGGTAATGATATGCAGGGGCGCAACGGTGGTCATGGGGCCCGTTTTTATGTCCGTGTATCGTCTTTCTTTCTTTTTTTCATTGCCCTTTCTATCTGTTCTTGTTTTGGCCCTGGAATTTCCCCAGCTGCTCCCGTTCAACGATGCGCAAGGCTCCTGATTCCGGTTCGAATAGAAGCCAGCGGCCAATGTCGTACAAGCGCTGAATGGGTATCAATTCTCAAAGTCATTTTTATCTTCTTGGGAGATTTCTAAGGCGTGGATTTTGCCCAAAATTGTTATGATTTGAGTGATTGGAGCTCACTCTAGAGGTGGCTGACTCCGAGTGTCGACATCTTGTAATATAGCTATATTTGAATACATATACCCTTTGATTTCCTATTGGCTATGCCCGTGCAGCACTGACCTCTCAGTTCCGCCGTAGACGTGATACTTGTGGGCAGTTGATGTTGATGCTCAATTCAACTGATGTTCAACTTGAGTTGCAGTCACAAATTCAATTCCCCTTTTTGTGAACATCACGTGACACGTCCAACCTTCACCCAACCCGATTATCATTTTGACCGGAAGCATTAACGTCGGATGTTTATGCGCGAACAAGGAGGGTTTGCGCATTTAAACTGCCGTCAAGCATCACTTGCAGACGCCAAAGCTTGAATAGCGTTTCTCTTAACTCTCAATCCACTTGGACCAGCCTGATATATCCCGCCTGACTGGCTGATGTGAAATTTTTACGGAACGGCGATACGGAGAACTAGAAGAAGGCGGTTTAAAAAAAATGGTCGCTGTGCCATTAATTCGGCGTCAATTGCCTCAGGCAGCGGCATTGACTTCTTCAGCTAAACGTTTATCTCTGTCAGGCATCAGTCGATCGTGTATAGCTCTGCCCAGCTCATGTGTCCGGTCCAACTCAACCAGCTCCATCCGGTATTGCGCTCAAAAACCATATCCATACCCCCGAAACGGTCCATTATATCGTCAAAGCCCTTCGCAAGTGACATGTGAGAGCAGGTCATACCATCATTCTGCCTCCGACCTTTCTTCCTCGAACGCCCATTTCTCCCCGGAACAAGCCTCAATACTTTCTCTTGCTCTTGCAGATCATGTCCCTAGGCTTGGATTCACAACTGAAGCTGTTGTTCTTGCAGCGCAGGATGCCGGTTACCCAGAGGTGTCCTTACAGCTGTTTCCCCGTGGAGGGGAAATCGAACTTATCATATATTGGCTATCAACAAGACGAGCTCTCTTGAAAGAGAAAGTTCAAAATGGAGAGATATTCGATGCAGAAGGGCAGAAACTAAGTGTCGACCAAAAGGTGAAGAGGCTTGTCATGGAGAGGTTAAAGATGAACAGTGGTATAATCCAGCATTGGCAAGATGTAAGCTCCTGCTATCTGATACTACATTGCCTAGTCCTTTTAACTGATCTGTCATATTCAGGCTCTAGCAGTAATGTCGTTACCCACAAACATTTCCTCGTCGCTGCATGAATTGTATGAGCTTTCTTCTGATATCCTCTATCTGGCTGGAGATCGCGCTGTAGATTCGTCGTGGTACTCAAAGCGGCTTTCTGTGTCTACGGTATATGCCACCGCTGAAATTACGATGACAGAAGACAAATCCGAAGGGTTTACTTCTACAGAGGAGTTTGTTGAAAGGCGTTTTGGAGATACCGATGCTATCACTGGAGCTGTCAGTGATGTGAAGACCTATGTAGGTTTTCTAGGCGGTAGTTTGGTCGCGGCTGGAAGAAGCCTTGGTATGAAAATATAACTGGGAGGTAACATGCCTCCAAGGGGTGATTAATCCAGCACCTCAAGACAAAGTAGGGTGTAGGATAACTTGTGATGTATATGTATCAATTATTGAACACTGTCTCGTTTTAAAGTGGAGATTATTAGTTTAATGGTGATTTGGGAATTTCAATCATGGGCGTTTGATGCTCCATAATTCCTGTGCCTTCTCCTCAAGTTCTTTAAATTCTCGAATTTGTGCATCCATACCCTTTGCCCAGCTTGTAAGTTCTCGGTACGCCTTTCGGATAGCAGGTGAATCCCACCAGCTAACGCCAGAATTGCTGCCCGTTCTTCTGCTTCTGCTCTTGATGCTGCTGTTCTTGTTTCGTCCGTCGGACTGTCTTGCTTTCAATATTGCTCGCGCCCCACGTTGCCTAATTCTTTCTACTAACTCAAGTGTTCTCTTATCGAAGTCGATGCCATTTTCCTCCATCTCTTTGAGTAAAGACACGATAGATGGTAAGTCATTGTAAACACGCCAACGGAAATCTATTAATTCATGGAATAGTTCCTTTGACGACCCGATAACGAACGAGGCTCGTCCGTGGGATCGGATGCTTTCAAATAATCGAATGGTGAGTGGAGACATTGGAAACTTATTTTGAAGAACTCTCAAAGCATGGAGAAGAGTAGCAGGGTATACATGTCGTACAACAGTTACAATAGGTATGTCTGGATGGACACAAATTGGTTGGCACGGGGTATTGTTATTTTTGTTGGGCAGATTGGAGCGATTTCCGTAAGTGTTATCACCGCTTCCGGAAACGCTTGCTGTTGAACGGGAAGACAGTATGTCATCTAAACCTGCTTGTTTCAGCATTGGAAAGATCATGTTCTCGCATATTTTCCAGATCCCGAGGTCGCCTTTACCGTCCACCACAGCGTCGTCAATTTCCTTGCAAATTCTCTTCGTTTCAGTTTGCGCTACAGCGAATGCGGCAACAGAAAGATCAATGCCAGCGAATTTTGCTTCATCTGGTGACGAGGAATCGACTTTTGTGAATTGGAAATTGTGTAGTTTATCGTTCACATTTGCTTTCTCCACGCCAGAATTAGAGAGAGAATCTAACGGCTGCTGGAGTTTCTTGCGGCTGCTCCGGCTGTTAAGCTCACTCATCGTCTTTAAAACTGAGCTAAAAATATTTGTTATTTCCCGGTTATCTTGGGCTGAAGAACTATCGTTTGCAGCTGTGTTCCCATCGTGAGGTACAGGAAAGCGGCCAGTCACCCTCGAATTTCGGGGGACCGGCGTAGAAATTGGAGCCTGAGAGTTCGCATGCCGACGTCCTGGATACGATCGTAATTCATGTCTGCTGGAATTCGAAAACGGGCATCTCTGTTGGTTGCGTGCTGGCAGGCGAGGTTGGTTCGGTTGCGCCCGTTGAACTGGGGCTGTTAGAGTCGTGGTAAAGTAGAGAAACGGAAGATGTGTTGGTTCTCGGCACAACGAGACGAGGCCGTGGGACTTTGGCATCGTTCACTCTTCCATCTGCCCTGTAGACAGGTTGGTTACCCCGTCCTGTTATTCCAACCAACTCTTTTGTCCCATCAGTCGGTAAATATCATCACCACATGCGGTTGGAATTAAATCCAGAAGCTTCAAAAGGAAACTTTTTGCGTTTTCGATCGACGTTCTGGAATTCACGTGATCACGCGACTCTAAATTGTTTAATTGAACTTTTCGCGTTTGGTTAAACAAAAAGAACGACGGCCTTCATGTGTCATTTGCATTTGTGCGCTGTTCACCTTTTTGGATACGATATACTACGCTGACGGTGTACTGCGGCCTCCAGGAATAAGCATGGCTCCTGTAAAATCTGAGCCGGCTACGGAAATGTCCGACTTCGAAAAGCAGCGCTTAGCCAACATTGCAGAGCGCGATGCGCTTTTGAAGAAGATCAGTCTGGAAGCACAATCCGCTGGTCTTCTATCAAAGACGCCGGCGCCAAAAGCCGGACAATCACATAAGAAAAAAGCGGCTCCAAAGAGAGCCAAACGTGAGAAAGATGCAGCGCCCGTTCCCCGCCGATCCTCTGCCCGTCTCGCGGGTATAACACCAGACAGTGAGATTGCGAAGCGGAAGGCCGAAGAAGCCTATGAGGCAGAGAAATTACAAATGGAAGCGAAGAGAAGACGAGTGGCCGGGGATTTGCGGATGGATGAAATCGGAGTTAAAGGGAAATGGGAGGCTCTCTCTCTGGATTCGCTTGCTACTAGCGGACCAGCAAAGTACGAGAGAACCTTTGGTGACGAGGACATTAAGAAAACTACCAACAAAGACCTGAAAATTATGAGGGAAAGGATGAGTGGGCTAAATCTTTGGGATGCCTGGGAGCCTAACAGTGTGTCATCTCCTAGTTGCTTTTCTCAGATAGATTTTGTATCTCCGCTAACGCTTATCTTCAAGGGATCAGAATCACTTCGGAACGAATATACACAATGCTATTTCATCCAACTGAGTCTAAACCCTTAATATTTGCAGGGGATAAAGTTGGGAATTTGGGTATTCTCGATGCTTCACAGGATGGACCGGGGGATGACGAGGAAGAAGATCCAGTAATCACAACGATTAAACCTCATAGTCGGCCAATAGCCGCTATGCACATACATTCTTCCGCCCCATCCAAGCTTTACACCGCCAGCTATGATACCTCAATTCGGCAACTGGATTTGGAAAAGTCCGTGGCCACCGAGGCTTTTGTCGCTGATGATTTCGGTCTGTCTGGCGTTGATATGTCACCTGAGGATTCCCATACTCTCTACTTCTCAACATTGAATGGGGTTGTTGGCCGTTATGATACCCGAAATAACGTGACTAAACGTGATGGTTCCACCAACAACGATAAAAGTTACAGTGCGGACGAATGGCAGCTAAGTGACAACAAGATTGGTGGCTTTTCTGTCTGTCCCACTAAGCCCCAGTACATTGCAACAGCCTCTTTAGACCGAACTATGAAAGTTTGGGATCTTAGATTTCTATCTAAGAAAACTCCTAGGGCTGTCGCCGAACACATAAGTCCACTCTCGGTTTCTCATGCGGCGTTTAACAGTGTGGGCCAGATAGCAACCTCGTCCTATGACAATACTCTCAAGCTCTACAATTTTGGAACCTTCGACCTAAAATCTCGAAAATCCACTGAAACTTTAACAATCGAACCTGATGCCATGATTGACCATAATTGTCAGACTGGGAGATGGGTCACGATGTAAGTTTTGCTACCTTTTAACTCTCCCTTTGCCCTATTTTGTTTTAAGTCTAACAACAGCCTAGCCTCCGACCACAATGGCAAGCTGCGCCCCAATCATCCGTTCAACGTTTTTGTATAGCCAACATGAACCGTTTTGTCGATATTTATACTGCCAAGGGTGAACAATTGGCTCAACTAGGAGGTGAGGGCATTACAGCTGTTCCGGCTGTTTCCGTCTTCCATCCCACTAAAGATTGGGTGGTAGGAGGTACGGGGAGAGGGAAAGTGTGCCTATGGATGTGATACAGTAAATTGCCTATAGTACATTTACATTGACACTTAGAAACGCAATCTTAGGATTATCCATGACTTCTGTAATTGAAATGTCTGCGTAGGGGAAAAAAAAACACCTTATTAGTTATAGTGATAATCATGATAATTAATTATATTTAGCACCATTTGGGTGTCTTATGATGTTTGCACACAAGACATTTATAGTGTAGTCAAAATTTGTTGTCTATCAAAATGCACAAATGCTTCTATTCTAGATCGCGCGCGCGCCAATAAACAATTCTAAACACAACATCAGCCGCCATCGGTGTATTCAAATACCTTTAATGACAAAACTCTTCCTGCTTCTGACTGCCGTAAAGTCTGTTGACCGGAGTAGAGGACCATTAGCAGAATTCGAGTCTCAATTCAATGCGTCCACAGTAGAGGTGTTATCCCAATTGATTTATTCAAATGTAAGAGTCACGTCAGTGGCTCAAAAGCGAGGAATAAAATCAGGGTAAAATCTTTTGCCGTTTCGTAGATTCGATGTCTGATTTGCATGACGATACCACAACTGCAATGTCACTACATCGCTTGATAGGTAGTAGAGTTGTTGAGCTTTTGGAAGTTGAGGGGGGTTGGCTCTTCGGTTCTTCTGACATAGTTGTAGTATTTGCGGCTAAAATCTGAGCTGACCGTCCATATTGATTGCGGATGCATGCCTCTCTGACTACAAGACCAAGCGCAAGGGCAACCTGTCTTGCTACGCTATTTCCGACGATTTTCCATTGTTGAACAGGGCTGCCGATAAGAACTTCGTTGTCCGGATACCCCTGGGCACGCCTCACTTCTTGGACTGTCACCAAGCGATCTTCCTGCCAATGGAGCCAACGACCCGTGAATATACAGAAGGGGCAGACACCAGTTGTAACTGCAGGAAATGGCTTCTCAGGATAGATTCGGGACCAGGCTTTAGAGGTAGCAGCTTTCATCCGTGCAGAGTGCTCCAGAGGGTCAACCCAACCCCTTGCTATAGCTCCAACCAACCCTTGCCCCTTAGGATACTTGGGGATGTTCTGGATCAATGCCTGTTTCTCCTCGGATTCGACTCGGGAAGAGCGGTGATCCGGCCAGGGTATGGACATTATCCGTGCGGTATCAATAGGAGGCAGATCTTGGGTGGCGGAGCGTGCAGATACAAACTCGAAAACAGGAGTGTCCCAGCGCCTTTCACCAAAAGTTGAGCCATTAGGATTATCACCAAGAGCACGGGATTTAGTTCCTGGTGGGTGTGAATGGGTCAAAGCAGGATGCTCTAGGATATGAAGGCCCGGAGCTGCGATTGCAATAAAGAGTCTAGACCTGCTTTGGGGCGCACCGAAGCTCCATGCATCTAAGTTAAAAACGCGAGCTTGATATCCCATGCCAACGAAGGTACACAAAAGCTGAGAAAGCGGGTTTTGTTCATGGGTCCTGCTAGCCATACCAGCTACATTCTCGAGTATCGCGTACTGAGGCCGGTAGAGATCGATATAGCTTGCCACAGACGCAATCATCGATGAATTCCGCATTGACGTCTCATTTTCTTTGTGGGCATTGGCACTGGAGTAACCCTGGCAGGGGCTGCCTGCAGAAATAAAATGAGCCTCTCCTATTCTGGCAACGTATATGTTCTCCTTTCCCGTGATAGCCTGGAACAAATAATCGTTGACGGAGCCGCAAAATAGCTTCAGTCCCTTACCGTTAGGGTGATTAGCCCTATAAGTAAGCATCTGGTGAAGGCCCCATTCCACTGCCCACTTACTTTCGATGGCACCTCCTTCTTCAAGCCCTCGATCAAATGTCCCTCCGCCGCTAAAGAGATTGAGGGCATTTAACTTATGCAAAGAAGAAGAAGCTGAGGGGTCGAACCCTTGTTTAAAACTTGGACGGGAATTCATAGGTTCCAAATTCTCCCCATTCTTTGCATAAATGATGTAGAATGAATCTCCAGTCCCGTCCCTATTATAAGGACATGGGATATTTGGCAGTTGAACGGGTTTGAAGACACGAATATGGCAATGCCTTTTAATACGGCTTATTGGGACGGTCCGGTAGTCATCACAGTGAACCAGTTCATTAGGACGGCAGTTTTTTTCTCCAAGCTCCCGGCGGTATTGGAAGACTCGCAGAGTAGCTTCGTCGGGTCCTATATTAATAATCTCAGCAGGCTTGAGTATGTTGGCGAACTGTGCCAGCACAGTGTCACCAGCTTTGAATGTTTGAGTGGGCGTCTGGGGTATCCCACAATGACAGCTGAAATCACCCTCAGTTAATGTTCTAAAGGTTTCATCTTTCGTCTGATAAGTCTGTCGTACAAAAAGGGTTGAATAATCACGGTCTTCATTGAAAGAGAAAAATTCAACTGCAACCTTTTTGACTACGTCCTGAATCCGTGTTTTTCCTTCATGACAGTTGCAGTGATCACTCAAAAACAGTTCATTGCTGTGCGGATATGTCATGCTGGCACAAACAGTATCACTCGGACGATACAGCCAAATCAACCGAAGATCGCAACGCTTATTGGGACCGAACCCCTGAACAAGAGCATACCAGTACTCTTCCTTGCCTTTCCAGATGGATTCATCATCCTTTCTTAACGCAACAACATCCCCAACGGAAATATCACCAGTAGCACTGGTTTTTCTTTTCGTCTCAAGAAGCGCACTCTGTCGCCTTACCATCTCCTTGTGTTGAGCTTTAACTTCGGGAGCCAATTCAACTTTCTGCAGATGGGAGGACCAAGGCATTTCCTTAAAACATTCGTATACAAAGGGGGTGACGACGGTGTTTTCCATTACCGTAGGCTGCTGTGTAATAATCGGTGTTTTTGAAAGTCCCAGTTCATCCCAGAGAGTATGGCGGCAGTAAGAGGACAAGTTAATGGTAAAAGCCTGTCCTCGCAGGAACTTGCCATGTGCATTCACAGCATGTCGAAAGTCGCGGGAGCCATATTTTGCTAGCCAGGCAATAAACTCCGGATGATCACCATGGCAGGTAAGTAGCCAGTCGTGGAAATCCTCCTTGAAGTGGTTCAGGGTGACGACCCTCTCTTCGTCCGCATGGAGATAGTCGACGAAATGCTTAGCTAGATCAGCTAACCAGCTAAAGAAATGGTGATATGGTTCGTAAGCTGCTGAAGGTTTCCCCAAGCGGTACCATATGTCCCTCTTCTGACAGTGTTTGGATTGTATCCAGATATGCTCTCCCACAGTATGCTGGTCCGGGTCTTCATAGCCTCCTAAAGAAACTATACTGAACGCAATCTGCTGGAGGTAGAAAGGGCCAACTTTAGGATCGGCTTCTCCCTCGGGCCTGATTATACCGTCAAAGAAAAATATTGAACCACCCTCCGTATTCGCAACATCATTAAGCGGCACCATACCAGTCCGTCGCCCGTTCCCACCTGTGCAATTGTAAATCGTATAATCGTCTAGTACAAAGCTGACGAATCGAGAGCCGCCATATTCTTCCTGGGCACAATTGTCCTGGATAAATAGGGTATTCACAGCATTCCATTCCTTGGATATAGGGTATGGAGGTCGATATCCTTCATATGCCGATGCCGGGCTAGGAAGCGGTGGGCAAACGACGCTCAGTAACTCGTTATGCTGCGTTTTGTCCCCGGCTTCCTTCAGCCCAGCGAGATCCTTGTCCACGGATGATTCCTCGGTTGGTACATCCTTTCCGGAGAATATAGACGGGAGGTTCGGGGTTGATGACGAGCTCATACTTGCGGTACCCGGGGGGCCGAGCAGTGGACAGATCCGAACGCAGCGCCAGCTACTTCATATTCGCCTCTATGTTGTTGTTCTCTGAATGTGTTTCGCAATGTCTATATGTAGGTATAGTTAGTACAATTGGAGTATATGGCTCAATTGCTTCTGTGAAGAGAGAGAAGTATACCTATACAGGGCAACTATAGCAAATGATATAGAGTATGGAGTGGTATAAATGCTAATTGCACCTATTGCCTCTTTGGGGTATGTTTGGTTCTAATGTCAAATGTGCAAAAAAGACGGTAAAAGAGGAATTGGTAGTAGCTAGTCGATCAATTGCAATGAAGTTCGTTTATAAAGAGACCAACCAGGCCGTCAGTCGTATATTCTGCTATTCTTCTGCCTTTTTGTCTATTATTTATTCTCGTTCGACATTTTCTCTGCGTCGCGTCGCGTCGAAGAGAGCTGGTCACGTGCCATCAAATTTGCGCCGTTGGACACTACACAAATTGGAAGCATAAAAAGGGGCTACGAAGACTGGGAGAAAGACATGCTACTTTCAAACCAAATGGTCACGAGTCGACTTCATAATATACTACGTTCACGTTCATAAGGCGATACTAGCATACAGCGCAAATAGGACAGGCAGGACAAGCGTAGCTGCTTCTAGCATGGACAAAAGGGGTAGTCGTAAATCTATCTGCGTAATTGACAAGGGAGGTAGGCAGTAGGTAGGTAGGATGGGCCGGTAGATAGAACAGGACGAGAAAAAGGGCAAAAAAAGATAAAGACACAAGAAACGAGTAAACCACCTGGCTTGAAAGGCTTTTTCCCCCCTGAGAAGCAAAAGAGAAAAGAAGGAAGAGGAAGGATTAATCTTACATACATGGGTTAGTCAAGTACCTAGTCAGTCAGTCAGTCAGTCAGTAGACGATGGGACGGACGAAAGGAAAAGGAAGATGTGAGAAACATATAGAAGAGTAAATTTGAAAAATTCGTCAGATGATGTTGATTTGAGTCGTCAAGTAAAGGCCTGCCTCCTTTCCCCTAGTTTCCCTCAACCCATTGGGTATATCCAACACCATGAGAAATGCACCGCGTTATTTCAAAAATCCCCCCAAGTACCACCACACCACACTTTCACCAGACCACATCACATCACATTCACAATTCACACCCTCGCCTAGCCTCGCCTCGCCTGACCCGGTCCTGACGTATGCCATACCATGCCGTGCCATGCTTGGGTGTGAGGACATGGAAACCCAAAATCATTCAACTCCAATCCTGAGTTGTGGAGGATATCTCTCGCAATATCAAGTAAGGAGAAATGCGTTATGACGGGACGGAGCATGTTAGTAAAAGATAGAAGGAAGTGGGGGAAAAGGGATGTGGAGGAAGAAAAAGAAGGGGAAAAGGAGACATGTAGATCAGATAGATAGATAGATAAAGCGGTAGAAGGACGTACGGGAGGTCTCCGTTTGTCATGACCCAAACCCAAATGCAGGAATAAGAATAGGAAAAGAAAAGTAGAAGAGAAGATATAAAAAATGGACGGTAAACAGAGAACAGTGCAGATGTAGACAACAACAGGAACAGAACACAAGCGAAAGCGCTGGGAATTTGCAAGTGGAAACATGACAAGTAATCAAAATGGGGGAGGATGGGGAATAGGGATATTTCAATGGGGATGGAAACTATATAGTAAGATAGTTGGGAGGTGTAATGGGTAAAAAAACAAGAGTGAATGAAATCTTTCGTATTTTTCCAGTCATCACGATTCATTCAAAACAAAAAAAAAAAAAAAAAAAAATAAAAAATAAAAAAAATAAAAAATGAAAATGAAAAAAAAAAAAGTTAGAAAGATGTCAAGCCAGGAATGATTGCTTGTTTAGCCGCGTATTGCAGCTTACTTCGTGCGTGATATCATATATATTCATTTCGCGGGCCCACGTCCTGTGGCTGGTGCGCTGCACCATGAGAATTCGACGATTCTTTCTCCTTCCCCTTGCGTCTGGTCCGGTCGACAAATTCGAAAAGCCGGTATTTGCCTGAATCACGGGACATGCCTGACTGTCGATTCTTACCAGTCGGTGTCTCAGATTGCGTCAGGGAGACGGTGGAAGGGTTCTGGAGGCTCTCGGTACTCTTGCGCGAGTCGGCGTAGTATTTTGGTTGGGTGAACATTGGGCGACCTGGATGTTCCCATGGAGCAGAAGTGGCGCTGGAAGGGGTATCATCGTCTGCATCATCGCTGACACTGGCCTCGGTGGACTTGAGGTACGGTGTGCGTGGGAAGTAACCGATTGAATTCCGGTTGTTGCCTGCCGTTGTAGAACTGACGCTTGTCACAGCCGATTCTCTACCAGGCGTGTTGGCTTTGCTCGAGCTTTCTTCGTAAAAAGTAGCCGATTTCTCGACTTGCTCGGCAATCTCTTCCCACTTCACCTCGAGGTTACCACTGGGCTGCTCGGCTTGTTCAGCCTTGTTGAGCGACTCCTTCGTTCGCTTCTCCAGGTCGATGCAGAGCTGGTGGAATTTGAGAATGTTCACATCCATGTCTGGGACTTCAGTGAGACCCCTTGGTGCAGCCTGTAGCCACACGCGAGCCAAACAAGCAAAGCTTCTAGCATTGTCAATGAGGAACGGTAAGCTAGGGAATCCTTCCCGGGAGGTTGGTGGTAGACGACCGAGGATTTGGATGGGAGTTGCGAAAGATGGGTTGACTATTTGAGGTGGGCGTTCGGCGGGGATGGCGCAAATGGCATCGATGAAGTCCTTGAATTCGTTGCGGTGGGACATGAGAAATTTGTTCATGGGCTCCATGAATGGTTCCTTGTTGCCGAAGGTAGTCAGATTCGCAAGTCCCTGGAGACCCTTTGCGACTAATGTCAAAGTTCGTTGGGCACGATTTCGCGGATGTTCTATCAACAACGTTGTTAACCACCGGATCTTTAACCTGCCACTCATATGACTAAGGGTGAATAAACATACCTTTTAAGAGACCAAAGAGCTTTGGGTTCAGAATGGCAGGACAGAAGAACCGTAGAAACAAGAATCCAGACACACTACTGTACGTGACAGACCGTAGGAAATCCCCGTACCGGTCTTCAGCGCAAGCCCTAATGTGTCTGAAGATATACCTCAACTCTGGCGGACATCTCGCGGCGGAACCAGCAATTGACTGCCACATATTACTTGTGAGAATGATCAGATTGCGCCAATTCCGCTCGAGGTCTTCCTGTCTGCTGACGCGGTTCGGGTCGATTTCGCAGTCGGGATCACTTTCGTCGATGTCTCGTATACTTGAGCCGATTGTTTCCTCGAGATATTCTTTGCCCAGACGACGCATGTGCATGTCCAGCGATTTTGTAAGCAGGGAGTTCCCGCGGAACAACAGGTTTGCTTCGACGGTTGCAGAGCGGCCTAGGTCTCGCACGAGGACTTCTCGTTCCTGACCGGACTCGTATGAGTCGTTTGAGTGGATGCGGCTGGTATAGCGGAGGCGACTGGCGGAAGTCTCGCGGTGAAGGCCGTCGATTTCATCTTCGACGAGCGCAGTTACCCATTCACTTGCCTGACCAGACACTTGGAAGATGTCGAGGAATATCTCGGAGAGCTGGCGGAGCTCCTGGGGCGCGAGCTCGGCCAGGTGAACTGTGAGACCGTTAGGGAACGAATGGAGAAGCTCAGACATGACTTGGTATTCTTGAGACATCAGAACAACGGTTTCGTCGAGTTGGACGCGCATCAGCATTTCGCCGACTGGTTGGTCGTTCTCATCGAGGATTTGCCACCACTTCTCGGATCCGTTGCCGGCATCGAGACTGTCCAGGGGCAAGTCTATTCTGCCGAATGTGGTATCTTGAGAGGCCACCTCTAGTTCACCTAGCGTCGCCAACGAGTCGTGCTCACGGTCACCTTCATTGGGCGTGTAGGTACCTCGAGAGACGAGGGTCCAGTCTTTCTGCACGGGGTTGAGACATTTCACTAGAACGGTGGCACTAGACAGGACAGGGGGCAGGTCATGGAAGGTGAAGTCTTCTCGCCAGAACGGAGCGGAGGTACTGCTCTTCACGGCGGTCTTGCCTCTGACTTCACCGTCTAGCAGGACTTCGGCGTAGTAGTCACCGGAGGACTGCGAACCTTGCTGTTTAGATGACTTCTTGTTCTTTTCCGGTAGTTCTGCCTTTGACTGGGGGAATATCTTTGCTTCAATGACACGGACGTTGAGAAGGCGTTCGATTCGGAACATATCTGTCGTGGTGGTGGGGACTTGCTGGGAGATGGCCAAGGGGTGAGATCGGCCGGAGTCATCTGTAGAGGCGGTAGTGGTAGGAGGCTGTTCGGGTCCGTAGAGTTCGGGAATTGTGAAGGCTCGGAGTAGGACGAACCATACCTCGAACAGGACACGGCTTTCCATGGAGAGGTAGACGGGTCTGGTGAGGTGGTCGCTTCCGGCATGAACGGCATACTGAGGATATATAGCTATGCAGAACTCGTCTTGCAGGACGGAGGCATCTAGCTTTTGGATGGCACATCGGGAGAGTTGAGAGAGTTGTATGAAAGATACAAGATTTGTGCCGGCCTCAGTTACGATCTTCATGTGGCCGTTTTCTTGTAGTGTGCAGTTGACCTTCCTCCAATAATGCGATAGAGCCCGTTGTTGCTTGAAGGTTGATATCCTCCGGGGTGTTGGTGGCGGACATACACCGGAAGCACTTTGTCTATCCCACAGTAGCATCTTGCCTACTTTGATAATGGTGGCTTCCTTTTGTAGGGTACTCTCTGAGTTTCTCCGGCGATCTGCGAGGCGCCGTTCAGTTATGGCGACTGACTGGGGCTTAGTCATTTTGTTCTGTACGCCCTTTGGGCGGATGGGTTGCCAGCACAGGAGGGCGGCAAGCCAGGAGTCACAGGTCTCCTTGACGTGGGGACGGAGGTGTACGCTGAGGGTAGAGGAGTAGGTTGAGACGCTCAGGTACGGGCTTTGGAGTTCGGTAGAGTAGAGGGTGCGGACACGGCAGCCGCGGAGGTCCGGGATAAGGGTCTTTGCCTGATTTGCTTCACCTTTTGCCTGGTAGATGAGGCTGCCTGCGGCAACGTTGATGGCACAGTAGCCCGAAGTCCAGGAAGACGATCCAGATATGCGGAAGGAGAGGATGCCATGCATTCTGCCACAGGTGGACTTCATGAGGTCCAGTATCTTGGTAGAGTCCTGGTTCAAGACTTGAGATACATATGGTCCTGGACTGGAAGCGTTTGAAGGAGGAAGGCCGGAGGAGAGAGTCGAGTGCGACTTGACGAAGCGAGGCCGCGGTCCGGGAGACTGGATGATGGAGGGAAACCCGATGGAGGCGGCAATGGGATCGTCCTGGAGTGGCGGTCGGGGACTCTGGGGTGAGCCTGCAGCCATGTTGGCCGAAGCAGTGGTGGTTAGAGAGCCGAGTCTCATCCGGGTGCGTCCCAAGAAGGTGTTGGCTGGCAGGTCGCCTCTCTGGTCCTCCATGGTGGTCGTCTTTGACCTGGCTCTCAAGCTTCGAGGATCTGGCAGCGGTATGTCATCATCATTGAGCCTGTTGGCGGCGTTGCTGCTGCTGTTGTTACTGCTGGAGTTGTTGTTGTTGTTATTATTGTTGTTGTTGATGTTGTTAACGTTGCTGCTGCTGCTGTTGTTGTGGTGATGGGAGTGGTGATTGATGTTGGTGGTGCTGGCATTGGCACTGTTGCAGTTGCTGTTGCTGCTGCCATGTCCAGCATGAAAAGGACTGAACTCACGCCGCCGGTCACGCGGTTTTGCGCGAAGACCGGATCTGGGCGAGGCTGTTGCGCTGGCTGCGAAGTGTTCGGCATCTGAAGCTGGCGAGTGATTCTGCGTATCGGAGAGCGACTCCTGGGGGCTGACGGGCCGGATGGAGGTATCCCTGAAGCTGTCTGGGTAAACCATCCCGTGGCGGTCCTTGGAAGAAGATTTTTTGCTAGGGCGGCGTTCAATGGGTCTCGAATACACGTCCAGGTCGTCCCTCTGAAAGCCGTTCTGGCGCTCAGAGTCCATAATCCCTATTCGGTTATCTGAAAGCCGGCTCTACCGCCACTATCCGCATATCAAGGACGAGAGGATGTTGGCTATTCATCAGTGACAGGCCGGGCCACTCTGGTAAGGGTGGGATGGGGATACGGATTGGGGCACAACAACCAGAATGTCGGTATGCTGGGTAAGATCGAGAGGGTTGATTAGCGGCGTCGCAAAAAGAGCCCTTTTTTTCTGATGCAAAAAAGAAGGATGAGTTATCGGGCCGCCTCGTAGCGTAGAAAGAAAGGAAGACGAAGAGTATTATTTGCAGTACGGAGTAGTAACGGAGTAATGAGTAGTAATGGGGGATAGAATCGAGAGAAATGAAGAAGCCTGAGAGGGAGGAGAAGACGAGCAAAGAGAGCGCCGTCCCTTTAGGGTCAGTCCGACGAAACAGCGAAGGAGGGAAAAAAAGAGCGTTCCCACCGCCCAAAGAAAAAAAAAAAAAAACGAAAAAAAAAAAAGAACGAAACGACCGGCCTAGTTGAACCCACGACGGATTATCCACCGGAGAAAATAAAACGAGAGAGAGAAGATATCGGCAAGCAGATAGACAGACAGACACAGACAGAGAGGGAGAGACGACGTACCTTTGACAACCTAAGAGAGAGAGAGAGAGAGCAAGGTCGGCCCGTCCTACATGTCCCGTTCTGCGAGGGAGGGTCGAGAGGGAGTCGACGATGGGGGGAAGAGAGGAAGAGGCGAAAAAGACAAGCAAGCACCGCCGCACCGCAGCGAAGGGAAGGGAAGGGAAGGGAAGGGAGGGGAGGGGGGGTGGCAGGGAGGGAGCGCGGGAAAAGGGCTAGCAGTAAGTAATTAATGGTGATGGGTCAACACGGCGACTTGCCTGCTAGCAGCAACGACGACGCCCAGCAGGAACGACAAGAGAGGAGAAGACGACGACAGCGATGAAGAGAGAGAGAGAGAGTGAGTGAGACGCAGGAAAAAGAAAAAGGGCGAGGAAAAGAAACGAGAGCGAGGAAAAAGAAAGGAAAGGCAGCGAAGGCGAAGAAACCTGAGAGCAGCAGCAAGACGAGGACGAAGACGAGAGAGTGATCTTCCTCTCTCTGTGTCTGTGTCTGTGTCTGTGTCTCTGGCTGTGCCTCCTTGGGAGATCTTCCTTGCCGCTGCGTCTGCCAGTTGTCTCCGAGGCCCGGTCAGGTTGCTGTCGAGGTCGCTGTCGAGGTTGAAGTCGAGGTTTGAGGTCGAGGTTGAAGGTTGAAAGTCGAGGTCGCGGAAGAAGAAAAGACGAAAAGGAAAAGGCGACGGCCTGGCTGGCTGGGGGGGGGGGGGGGGGGGGGGTTCCCCTCCCCGCTTAGTCAGCAGCCTTAAGAAGAGGAAGAGGAAGAAGAAGAAGCAAAAGGATAGGCAGAGAAGAAGAGAAGAAAAAAAGAAGAAAAGAAAAAGAAGAGACGCAGAGAAGCAGAGAAGCAGAAGATCGGTGGGAAAGGAAGAGCAGCGGCGACAGGGCCGTCCTTCTGGCAGCTTTCTGTCGTTTCTACCGGCTTTCTAGAAGCGCCTGTTCCTGCAGCCAGCCAGCAGGACGGACGACGATGACCTTAACGGACCACTGCTAGTAGCTACGGAGTACTAGAGTCAGCTCTCGGTAGGCTCGCAGGCCCGTTACTGGCCAGCATGGTCACTGGCACCAGGCTGGTCCATCGGTCATGCTGGCAACGTGTCGCTGCTCGGCTCGCACTTGGTAGAGAGTGCTGGATATGCTGGCTGACATCGCTGGCATCTCAACGGCTGCCTGGCGTGCGGCGGCGGGCTCGCCTGGCTGCTTGTTCCTTTTGCTGGCGGGCAGCTCAGCCAACCTGCGACTCGCTTACTGCTATCATACTACTGTCATACTACTTATTATTTATTATTATTACTATCTACTCCGATCACTGACGTTTGCTCGGCCGTCGCTCTGCAGCGCAATATAAGGCTGTATCCCGATCCCTATCCTTGTCAGCCGCTAGCTTGCTGCGAGGCTAAGTTAGTGACCGGACTCCTGGGCCCTCGCACATTATCCTTTGCTGTCAGGGAGTCTGTAGTCTGGAGTCCGTAGCCCTGTGGAAGAAGAAAGCCTACTGAATAATAATAATAGACAGCACAGGCTGGCCGGCTCCAGGCGTCTGTTAGTATAGTTTCTCAGAGCAGTCTCGGCTATAGGGATGTAACCAGCTAGTTGGTTAGTTAGTTAACTAGCCAGTTGACGGGCGATGCTCTGGCCACGATGTAACTATATAACTCCCGACGACGGCCGACCGGTTAGCCAAAAGTCGCTCTCCTGCTGCCGTCGTGAAGTTGCAGTTTGACTCCAGCAACCGACTAGCACTCTGCTGCTGCTTCTGGGGTGACTTCTAAGACATCCATCTTCTCTCTTTCGTCTTTCTTTCGTCTCGTCTTCTCGTCTTCTCGTCACTTCTTCTGCTTCTGCTTCTTCAACGTCACCAGATTTAGTGTCAGTCACGTGATGGTGATGCTTCCATAGCGGATAAAGTATGTTTTGCGGCACTACTATCTTCTGTAGAGACATGGTGGTAAACACCAATAAGTACCAATAGGGTACCGACACTAACTAATAACGATATTAATATAATAGCTACTAAGAATATTATAGATATACTATATTAAGAAAAGATATATTTTTTTTTTAATTTAGTACTATAATAGCTTTTATAACTAACTACTTAATATAAGAATCTCTTAAATTTAAATCTTACTTATACTTTATCTCCCTTTATTTTAACTCCTAATTCCTTAATTTCTAACTATCTATATTCCTTACTTATAGCGACTAATAAGCCTAGAGAGACTAAAAACTTCTATAGAGGCTAGAATATAGGCTATTAAATTATCTACTTTATATAATTAATTAAACTATTATTACTCTAATAACTAATAGGAGTTAGAGATTCTTAAAAAATCTTAATTAATAATTTAAGCTTTTTTAAAGTAATATAGATAAAGATTTAGTTATTATTAACTTTTAAAATAGTATACTTCTATATATTAAATTAGTTTCTTCTTTATATATTATTCTTTTTCTAGAAATATAGATATACTTAAATATATCTTTTATTTCTTATATTAAGTACCTTAACGATATAACTAAAACTATATTTAATTTTTATATTAAGAGTACTAACTTTCTTAGTTAAAGCTCTAATATTTTTATCTAGAAACTATATATTTATAGTTAGTATATCTTCTTATATTATATAGGATTCTAGAGTATTTTTACTACTATATTTCTTATAATAGCCTTTTAAGAAGCTATAATATCCTTTAGAATAATTTCTATATTAAACTAAGTCTTAGCTATAGATTTTAGAGCTTCTTTAATCTTAGTAATATTACTCTTATTCCTAATTATAGTTATCTTAAT